TATTTTTAATTTTGCCAGGGTCCGCTGGAGAATTATTCACCGTGTGCTTTGCCTTCGCGCTCCTGCGTTTGCAACGCTCTGCTTTAAAACACGCACAAGCGTGGAAAGGGAGAGCTAGCAATGCCGATGCAGGAGGGAAAGCTGCCAGGAGAGTAATGCAGGAAGAAAAATTCCTCTTGACAGCCATAAAAGTGGAAGACGCTTCCCAAGAGCATATATTGTTCATGAATGAGAGTATTTTCCTGCGTCACGGGGCCCCAGAAGGCCGCCTCAGAGGCTCAGCTGATCAGTCGAGGAGAGACTTGCAACAGCTCCTTAAAATTAAGCACAAAAATAAAAGGGGGAGAGTGCCTTCCAACCAATCTGGAAATCGTTGGGCGTTTGCTCAGCACCGGTGAGATCCTAGTATACCCCAGAGGACGATTTGCTGGAATTCAGACAAAGCATGATGATAATTCTCAGTGCATCAGACGCTCAAGCCTGTAGGCATTCGGCAACTTGTTTATAGCAGGAGCTTCACGGAAACGACAAAGCTATTTAAGATGCTTTATTGGAGGCAGGAAAGAAGACATGTATGTCTGTGGTGGTAGCATCACACCAAGCTAGCCCTCCCTTCTCCCTTTCCTTCTTTGTCTCTATCATCTATCTATCTATCTATCTATCTATCTATCTATCTATCTATCTATCTATCTATCTATCTATCTATAATATATCTATCTATCATCTCTCTCCCCAATATCTGTCTGTCTACCTACCTACCTATCGACCGTCTACCTACCTATCTACCTACCTACCTACTAGTGGAACAGTTTCATTTCATTTCATTTATTTCATTTATTAAATTTATACCCCGCCCTTCTCCCGGAGGACTCAGGGCGGCTTACAGCCAGTTTAAAACAATGATACAAAACAATACAAAATTTAAAAATGATTAAAAATAAATATTCAAATTTGGCCGCTTCTACTAAAAATTTGATTAAAACCAATTTAAAATCCACTAAAATTCCCTAGGCCAGACCTGCTTGTTGAAAA